GACTCCCCACCCCCACTGACATTGCACCACAATTTGGGTTTATCTGTCCCAATAACTTGGACCCGGGCGACTGTGGGCCCTTGTTTTTCGATATTTTCAGGTAAAGGTGGCACAGGGATAGCTTGTGCAACAATTTGTCCCTTGGGAAGAAACAGGGGTGGGTGGAAACAATGCAGGCCGAGAACAAATTGCTTGGGATCTGATGTTGTCATTCCCGGAGCAATTTCGATCTCTTGTGGTGTGTGTTTGGTGTCCCCAATGACGATGTACTTACAACAAATTCGGTTCCAAGTATCCTTCTGTTCAGGATTTACAGAGACAAAATGCCAGTCAGTGTCCTTCAGGTGGAGTGACTCTGTCAGCTGCAACCTGTAAGGCTCATTGACAGAAGATGTGGTTAATACAGGATCACCTAAATCATAACAAAGGTTATTTTGTTTCACTTTCAACAGTGGACTAGCAGACTTGGTCTTTGAAGCACCTGCTTCACTTACACAAAAATTAATATTATCGCACGCTTGATTTGTTTTGCTACCCTTATTCCTTTGGCCTGCTCTTTTTGTGTCTGCACGCCTGGCAGGCGGGCGCTCCCTTTTCAGTTTTTTTGTTGTTGTTGACCCCCAGGGAGGGCTTGTAGTTCTCCTCCCCTGCTATTTCTGAATTCATCAAATTGCCTTTTCAGGGGGCACTGGTTACTCCGGTGCCCAAGGTTGTTACAAAGCAGGCATGGTTTTGTGGGCTCAACAATTGCCGGTCTCCGCTGCTGCCCAGGGTACTGCTGTGCTGAGGGAAAAGGTGCAGGGCTGGCAACAGCGACATGCTGAGGTGGTCTTGGCAGCAGTTTTGGTTTGGTGTCTTCAGCCACACTCATCAGAGGCACTTTCCTGTTACAGACTAGAAGCATATCTTTTAGTGCAGGGGGAGGTTCTATAGGAAGGCGCAGGATTGCTGCTCAACACTGTTCATTTCCATTTGCAAATGCCATTTCTTCTAAAATCGCTTCCCTAGCATTCATTTTTGTAACTTGTATTTTAATGGCTCTAGTTAGCCTTTCTACAAATTTCAAAAAAGGCTCTGATGGTAGCTGTTTATTTTTACTATAGGGCTCAAAAGGCCCCTCAGGTTGTAGGGAAAAGAATGCTTTTTCAGCTGCTTCTTTTACTTTTTTGAGTGTTTCTGCAGGAATTGCAGTAGCTTGGATTGAGGGTAAAGATCATTGGCCCTCACCACAGACGTGCTCAATGGTGATAGGGTTACCACTGTTGTCTTTCGCTGTGTTTGGATCAGCATGCAAGCCTGGGAGAGCATCTTTTAGCAGTTGTTTCCATGCTAATTCCCATAATTTGAATTCCGTGGAGGTCATGAGGCAGGAAAAGAGCTGTTTTAAATCATGTGGGATCACCACAGTCCTACTCAATTCAGAATTTAAAAGACCACGGAAATATGGACTGTGTGGACCATATTCTTTATGAGATTTACAGATCTCTTTAATCAATTGTCATCCAAAAGAGCTCCAATTAGCAGTTGGGACTGCCCTGGCCTGAGCTGCAGGCTGAAACGTAACAGGAGCCAGTGACAACATGGGACTATGCATTGGGTCTGCCATTCCCTGCTCTGTATCCCTTGAATCAGAAGCATTGGGATCACAGCTACAGGTTTGGGGACAGGCAGTGGGTGTGTTCCCACCGTGGGAACCCGGGGAGGGGGCGGGGA